GAGTACCAAGGCCTGAGTACGAACACCAAGTACCAAACACCAAGTACCAAGGCACCGAGTACCGAACACCGAGTACCGAGCCCCGAGTACCAAGCACCAAGTACCAAGCACCGAGTACCAAGCCCCGACTACCAGCCCCTGAGCCCCAACTACCGAGCCCCGAACTACCGAGCACAGAAAACCTGGCAGCGAGTACTGGGTAGGTAGAGTATACAAGTACCAAGGACTACCTACCGAGTAGTACTGCAATGTGTCTACTATCAGACATTGATCAATATTTACATGTTACTTGAGTCCTCAAAGGCCTCAATGAGGGTATCTAATACCTTCAGCATTTTAGAGGTTGACTCCCTTACCCTTTGCATCCTCTGGAGGTCAGCATCTGCTTTCTGCAGCTTGTCACATGTTTCAGCCCATGCCATCCTGAATGGTCTGTCAGCCTCAAGAATTTGGGCTACTGTAGGGGCAGGAAGATTTCCATGACGCTGTTGATAATCTCCCAGGCGATCTACAATTGATTGAACTTGCAGGATATTAGCAGAGATAAATAATCAACTGTTGCATACTTACTTTCAGCTTGATCATAAGATCCGATTGGCATGAACTCCTGAACCATGGCATGCAGTGCTTCATTGTTGAGTTCTGGCTTGGGCGATTGACATTCGGGAGTTTCTGACATAGCTTAGGAGATAGCATCAGTAAAACACATGAAATGATATGAATATACGTACAAGGTATGGGTGCCCCTGGTACACCCGGAGTGGCCGGATGAGGCTCCAGAGTTGATTCATTCACTGGGGAAATGCCATGAAAGGTGACCATGGGATGGACAGAGTAATCTCACCAGCCATAGGAAAATCGGGTACAACCGGAGCATCATCAGACGAAATCAAGGTATCCTCCGGACCAAGATACAAGTCCGGGTCATTGTACAGGGCCAGTCCATCCGCCAGAGCCGGAGATGATGGATCTGGAAGTATGTGATGAATTTGCACATGTAAAATATGTACATTTGAATTGGAAAACATACCGGGAATCACATTCAACACATCCAAACCACTGGACGACGACCCAGAATCAGAGTCTAACTCATCATCCGGCCCAAGGTATATATCATCTAATGGATCTGAACCATGTCAGATCAATTGACTGAAATCAGAAAAACAGATTTCACCCTGCTTTCAACATTCTCACATCTGTCAACTCCATCCAAATGTCTACTCAAGTTCAATCTTCATTGGCCAACCTCAAGGCGTCCACTGTTCAACTTGTGGGCATCATTGCCGGCGCCTGGCACATCCCGGCCGGCTCAGTGGACGTCCACCTTGTTCTAACAAAGCAGGTCACCACTCTTTTGGTATGTTGAACTTATTAAATTAGTGTAACATTAATGTTTGTAATGTCCAGGTAGGCTGACATCATCCAGGCCCATGAGAAAGGGGAATACATCCCTGGAATTGTGGCGTCCTGCTCTAAGGAGCTGATGAGGGTGCGTTCCATGACTCCCCGGGCATTGCCCAACTGGCACAGCATTGGCCATGATGACCCCCAGGTGGCTAGACACGCCTGGCGCAAGCAAGTCCATGCCTGGGAGGCATTGGGTGACAATTCCTGTGATCTCCCTGTTGTCCCTAACATTTCCACTGGCCCACTGACTGTCAACCTTCCGTCTCCACCTGTCCCTTCACCTGCACCTGTCCCTTCCCCCACCCCCGTCATTCCCTCACCTCTGGTCATCGCCAGACCTTCCAGCAATACGACCCCCGAGGTCCGGGACAAAGGAAAAGGTAAGGAAGCCCCAGTCACCTCGGTCACCCGGTTCCCCCAAGAAGCAATCATTTGGGCCTGCTTCAGTAAGTTTGCATTTTTCGTTTGGACCTTAAATATATGCTCATGTGTCCACAGCTGACTGCCGGCAGTCGTCCGGAGGTTACGGTGAGTCGTTTGGACTTGTCTGGACCTCCCATGTATAGTTCCCACTCATTCCCATTACATTAGAAATCTCCCATCAGTCGTCCGGAGGCTCAGGTAAGTCTTAGAAGTTGTCCAGAAACTCATATGTGTATTAACAATCAGTCAGGCAACCTCTGGCAGTCGTCCAGAAGTTGAGGAGGAGTCCTCTGATGATACTTCCAGTGCTTTGGATGGTGACCCGCCGGCCAATACCACATTTGATATCACCATTCCCGGCCCAGTGAGTACTGAAATAAATTCCCCTTCGTCCATCTACTAACTGATACCACAGAACAACCCCTGCCATTATTGTGTCAAGGAAAATTGGCCCTGTGCGACTCGATTGGACATGAGGTCCAGCCTCCCCTGCTTGTCTTGCATCCGCTGCTCCACCAAGAAGATCAAATGCAACCCTGCATCTCTGGGATCCCTGCCCAAACGGACCCGAGGGAAGTCTACCACCGGCCGGATGCGTTCCAAGACACCTGCCCCTGCTCCATCCAATGCTCCGTCTCCCTCCCGGTCAAGGGCCCGAACTTGTAGTCAATCTTGTGGCCCTTCCCGAACTCTGGCCATCCCTGCTGCAACTACACCCCAGGTGCAGTCATGTGGTCGCAGCAAGACCATCACTACCAAGAAGACACCTGTCCCTGCACCTGTCCCTGCACCTGCGCCAGCTGGTAAGTCACCCATACTTTTGATGACCGGCTGACCTAATTTTTTACTTAGCAGTCAGGTCTTCCAGCATTGCAGTGCCTCGTGCAGCACTCCATGTTCCCATGCCGGATCTCCATTCCATGGCAATTGCAATTCAGGATGGTGCAGCTCGCATCGCTATTCTTGAGGCTCAGGTGCAGGAGCAGGACGCTAATATTGATACCCTGCAATGCCTCCATGAGAGCCTCTGGCGCACAGTGGTCGACCGGCACCCTTCATTTTCACTTCCGGACACACTGGCCGATGGATTAATGTTGCTTGATCAAGGAGGTCCCCCCCGTCCATGTCACCCCTCCCCTCCGCACTTTCCAACCTCATTGATTTGGACTTTTCCGTCATGGAACCTACACCCTTGACGCCTGAGCATGGATCTGTTATGGTAGGTCCCATGGTTGAGCCCACCCAAGTTCAGCCTGAGGGTCCACAATCCTCTGGCGAAATTGTTCTCCCTGATGAACCAGGCAACCTCCTGCCAGAATTCCCCGGCGATATTGTGGTCCCTAATGAACCAGGTAACCTCCTGCCAGAATATGATTCTTCTGATTATGAGATGGATGTTGAGGGAAAGGTTGATCTTCCTGGTGAGGAGGTTGACATGGCTACATAATTGCTCAGTGATAGATGTACATAAATGTTTTTCCATGCATGTTACCTATGCCACAATTGAATCATTCAATGATCACTCCCGATATCCAAGACTCGAAACTGCAGATTGAGATAGATATCACCTGAAACCTGAACACCCGAATGTCAAATTATCAGTGCCGAACCCCGAGTGCCGGGTGCCGGGTACCGAGTCCCAACACCCGGAACTCAGGATTTGACATTTTAGACGAATGACATCTTCCAGACATGTTTAAATCAACCTATGTATATCTGTAAACATTTTACTAACCCCCAAACCCCAAACCAAGATGTACCAACCCCCAAACCCTGAAACCCAAGACTGCTGGGTCTCGGGTCTCGGGTGTCTGGAACTCGGAACTTGAGAAAATTTGGGGAGATCAATACAATTTGATTTACAATCAAGTTGATTGACAAACACATTGACTTACCCATGTTTGCAATATATTTTTGTTTAGACATACCGAGTTCCAAATTCCAGACACCCGAACCCCGAAACCCGAGACTGCCGGGTCTCGGGTATCAGGGGTCCGGAACTCAGAACTCGGTATGTCTAAACAAAAATATATTGCAAACATAGGTAAGTCAATGTGTTTGTCAATCAACTTGATTGTAAATCAAATTGTATTGATCTCCCCAAATTTTCTCAAGTTCCGAGTTCCGGACACCCGATACCTGAGACCTGGCAGTCTCAGGTTTCGGGGTTCGGGTGTCCGGAATTCGGAACTCAGTATGTCTAAATAAAAATATATTGCACATGGGTAAGTCAATGTGGGTTTTGGGATTCAGGGGTTGGTACATCTCGGTTTGGGGTTTGGCACTGAAAATTTGACATATATATTTTTGTGAGTGTTGTGCTTCTGGTGTCCATGCTTAGAAATAGGATTTGTTGCACACCAGGGTTCAGGTGTGGGGTTTTTCCACTTCAGTCCTGGATTATTGGTCAATGCCACACATGGTCGATTCATGTTTTTGTGCTTAGGGGTTTAGATTTGGTGGTTGATGGTAGGTATATGCACTCATAGTGTACATGTATCCTACGTGTTTGATTCGCTGGTGGCTACATCAGCTGTATGTCTTGATGGAACATATCTAGGCTCACCCATATATGTAATACATCCCCGTCGGCCCACCCATCTATGTATTATCCCCCACGTCAGCCCACCTGTCTATATAATTATACCCCACCTTGGCCCACCTGTCTATGTAATAAATATTTTATCGCACCCTCGGCCCACTGGTCTATTTGATATCCCTTTCGTCGGCCCACCTGTATATGTAATACATTCCACGTCGGCCCACCTCTATATGTAATACACCCTACATCAGCCCACCCGTCTATGTAATATTCCCCTACCTCGGCCCACCCATATATGTAATACACCCACATCGGCCCACCCGTCTATATAACAATATTTGCCTTACATCTCTCTTCAGCCCAGCTGTCTATAATATCCTACTCCACATATTACCCAGATGGGCCCACCCATCTCCATGAATGATCATATTCCCCTGGCCCATCCGTCAACATCAAGGATATATATATATCATTGGCATACATGGGCCCACCCATCTCCATCGGAAATAATATGTGTCCCGGCCCATCCGTCATCATCGAGAATATACACAACATGGGCCAATGATCAGCTGGCCCGTCTCATACGGGATATTATGGAGGTCGGGTGGCCCGTATAATACGGAATTTATCACTGAAGGGGCTCAATAAAGTCCTCATCCTGATACCTGTACTCATCAGCTAATGCAACCTCCTCAATCACATCCATAAGTTCATCATCTCCAACCTCAGAATATGCTGGATCACCATCCTCGTCACTCTCGTTCACCACTCCAACTCTCTCGTTATCATCGTCATCCTGGAAAAATAATGACTGCACCTGGTCTCGAGTGGCTCGAAGCAAATCCTCATTTATAGGACCCCAATGCTCGACTGGCCAAGCGCAAGGGATCTCTCGAACCTTGTTCTTCCAGACAACACAGATGGACAGAAGCTCCTCTGCACAGGCCCTGAGGTGGAATGGCATCACGAGATCATTGGCTGCCGAAAAATTAAATGTTGGTCATGGTATATTCTGACTACATGCACCAGGATCTCTCAATGCAGTCTGGACGGCCTCCCACTCTGCTAACATCCATTCCTGCATCACAGACCGCTCTCGCATCAAACGAGTCTCCTCCTCAATGCAACAATCTAATTCAAGCTGTAAACAAATACCAGACCTGGTGGCCTCATCCGATAACCATGCCGGTGGGTGCATGCCGTCGTCATCGAGGCCAATATCTTGCCAGATTTCATCGTCCACATCAAGTAGGAAGATGCCTTCACGAGCAATAGGATGAGGGGGAATAGCATATGGGGGAGCTCGCCGTTGATGTATGAGGGACTGTAGCTGAGTACATAGGCCATTGTAAGTTGAAACTAGTTTGAGAATTGCAGGTTCTTGCCGTTTGATTGAATACTGGGTGTTTGAGCAAAGCTTGTGTTCTGTTGAACAACACATGAGACATGCTGAAAAAGTAAGGCACAAAAGAGTAGTAATGTACCATTTACTGTTGCTCGATACGACCTCTCTAGCCTCTCCAGTTCAAATTTGCGTTGACGGAGACGGTCCCTAATATGAGTTTTTACTGTGCGAGCATTCAAGCAGATGGTAAGGTAGATGTCATTCTTCATCGTCATAAGATTGGCCTGTCCTTGCGGTCCACGGGTAGCCTTACAACGTCGAAGGGTATCTGCAATTTTGGCACGTCGTGACCAAGCGTCGGCGAGCTGCAGATTGAACTCCATGACATTAGCAATCGTGCCTACATAAAGCTGCATCTCTAGCTCATGGACAGAAGTCTTGTGGGCGTCCAGGGTCTTCTCCAGCGCAAGAATAGTGGTAATGACCTCCACTGCCTTGTTCTTGGATTGCCCTATAAAATTTAATCAGTAAGACAGCGAGAACACTAGTAAAACTCTTACATGGGATGGGTCGGGTCTGGTGAGCAATTTGTGCCTTCCATTCAGCACGAAGGATATCCTCGTTGACATCTAAGTCCAGTAAACCGTCCAGAGCTGCGTTCTTCTTAATCTGGCAATGTAGCCATCGCCGATGGAGCCAATGTCCGTAGCCTTGGATGGATTGTGTGTCCAGGTGGCGAATTTGAACATTGAGGACGAAGAGACATTGATGGAACTACAGTAGAATTAGAAATAAGATATACACGTGAATATAGACTTACTTACCCCAGAAATGCGTAACAATGGGATGAGTTGCTTGAGAGAACTCCATAATCGTTCGCATCCCTCACCATCAGACAATCCAAAACCCTCGCGCTTCCTCGGATGGTAGATGATCTGACAGGGCCATTGATGGCATAGGCATGGAATACCGCAACAGCGAAGGATATGCGCGATAGGGTATTGTCATCAAGAAGATTCCATTTTCGGCAGCTTCGTTCGAGTTGACATCCGATGTCATAGAGAAGTCCTACAGTCATCTGAGGGGGTATGTGCTTGAACAACTGGTCCAGGAGAGCGAGTGCGTAGTGTTGCTTTTCCCCTGCTGATGTGAGGTTGACAAGCCAGAGGACACGGTCATGTCTGCATAGAAGGGCCATCAGGCCTGTGTCAGTAAAAAAACAAGTACTTGCCTTTTCATGCTTTTCATCTGCAGCAATGAAGGATTCTCCACATCCATTCAACACAGACACTGGCACACGCATCCCTTCTTCATAGCGATCCTCCTCCTCTTCCGCTCTCGAGGCTCGCATTTGACGTCTTTCTCCACAACAACTTTTTACAAAATCCTCCATTGCTTTGACATCGTTGTTTGACAGAAAGAATGTTGGAGTCAGATTAGGAGGGTCGATACTGCTAGTATTGCGAGGATTAGTCGATCGCTTTTGAGTAAAGCAGGCATCTATGCAAACAACAACGTCTGGGCTGGTATTGTCAATTAAAAGTGGTACAATACAAGCTGAGACACAAACTTACATAGAACGAGCATCTGCTCCATGGCAAGCATTTCCTCCGAAACAAAGCAGGCAATGAGAACGAAGGTATTCAGATGGCTGATCGATGAGTGGGATACGTGCCTGACCCCTCTGAACATCGGCGATGACAGTAGAAATGTGATTGCGAGCCAAGATGCTCAGCACTCAGTACCAGTGGAAAGTATTGCTGAAACGACGACACAAGTTATTCTGATGAAAGACTGAGCATCATTGTATGCGAGAGGATTGGAAAGGCTAACCTTGCATGACAACTTCTACCCCATTCCATCTCGAAAGGTTTCCACCACATCGCACCATGCAGTTTGGTTGGGAGCCTGGCGTACGAAGAGAAGACGGACGAACTCTAAAACGCGCAAGTCGACCGTGAGTGAGGGGAGCGAGAGGAGCGCATGGAAACAGACCGCGACGAAGGAGTTGGAGGGATACAGGGAAACACGGGCATGTGATGATGTTAATTTCTTTCAATGCTGGAAGATATGTGAGATATATTGTGGAGAAGAGTGAAAAATAACATACCATCGAAATGCACACATGCAACTGTAATCCACCGAGTCCTACACCCAGCTTGACAAACTGCAAGATCTTTCTGAGCTTCTCCCGGTGCGTTGGTATAATGTAACACTGAAGTTTGTTGGATATAGGATAAATACAGTACAAGTAGGGACGGAATGACATCTTGTGACCATCTGCGCCACTGGTTGGCCCTTTTCTGTGAGCTGGTCAGACAATGGCCAATAGGATCATTGGAGAAATGTAGGGAGTCGCTGAAGAGAACCTCATCAGTGATATCTTCTTGTGTTACCAATGTCCTGGACGCAGGCAATGGACGGCAGAAGTTTTGCTGTGTGAGGCGTTGGCGTCTGGGCAAGACCAACACAGGAGGCGGGGCAGGGAGATATAGATTGAGTTTTCTTGTCTGACGAGGACGTCGCAATGCCGTGTTCATCCAAGGCTCACAGACAATAGTGATGGGCGGCGGAATTGAAGGGCATTCTTCCTGCGTGCGGGAGATCACCTTGGAGGGTTCACGATGGTGTGGCTTTGGACGACGAACAGCCATAATGAATGCCGTTGACTCGAAGTCACACAGAAGGCCACCAACAACGCAGAGTCAGTTGGAGGAACTATCCACAGGTGCGCAGTCTGGGACGAGTTCGATCAAGAGTCAACGACCAATATCGGGTCCAGAGACGACCAATACTTGACTGGGAGAGCCAATGACCAATACTTGGAGTGCAAAGGAGAAAAAATCTGAGGGAGATTAGTACTGGGGATGTGATTCACTGGCAGACTACAGGAGTGAATCAGGGTAACAATAACGTCAAATTAATAAAAAAAATACTCAATAACGTATCTGCATAGCGGATACTTTCTCGTCTCCTGCCATAAGTATTGTACTGTAGGAATTAGTGGAAACGTAAGCAGAGAAACATATGTTTCGTGTGAGCGAATAGATAATAGCTATGGCAAAGTTAATAGAAAATACAATAGCAGAACGACATGGGTCGCTAGCTATGACTTGGGAGTAGGATGTCTACAAAAACATATCAGATCAGAGTTAACAGTGTGAGGCACTCACCTTGTTACTAAATTGGGACTAGGGGACACTGCAACGTATGCTGAGCCTACTAATACAAAGCATAACCTTATCTGACAGTGCGTTACGGAGATTAACAGGTAATGGAACATAGTACAATTCGTCATTTATACTCAGCCATGTGGAGCTTGTTGCACATGTCACTGTCATGCATGAAAGCGCCCATCCATTCCGAATTGACGATGACAGTCCCGATGCCAGAGGAGATGCGAGGTTGGGCAATGAGAACCCAATCCATAAAAGAGTGGATTTCAAGGAAGAGGCATTGGGCATCCATGACGAAGATGAGGAGATCGCGAAATGTCAGGGGATGTTTTTTGAGCCGCAAGATACCGTGTCGAAGAGAGATGACACAATTGATGATGACATCCTTTTTGACTTGTCGATTGGCCCTCCAGTCCTGTACACGTTTTTCCACTAATTTGAGGAGTGACTCCAGTCCTTCGACCTTGTCAGAGGCAAGCGTGCCTACAGGGAACGAATTGCCTGGGATGGTCTTGAAGTCCTTTTGCTTGGGAGTGTACCACGCCCAGTGAAGTGGATGCGGGAACAGGTAAACCTCCTTACGAGGAATGCAGACGGAATTGCAAAAGATGTTGTCATAGGCTTGAGGCCATTGAAAGCAGTCGACAACACCAAAATGACCATCGGCGCAGGCTTGTACATTTTCTTCTTCGAAATGGTGGAACTTGGGAACGAATTACATGTTGGGCGTAGTGATGACTAGATTGTCCTGGATGGCGATGGCAAGGGCATCGTAAGATTGTAACCAAGCTGCAGGATGCATGCACATAAGTAAGTAAGGATGCTAAAAGACAAAATCACATACATGCACGAAGTGTCGGGTCACCCTTGAACATTGTCAGAGTGTTGGGCATGATGGAAAACTGTGAAAGTTAGAATATGTGCTGACAGGTATAAGGCAAACACACCTCAGAGTTTGATATGGTATGGTGAGAGTCTAAGCGCTGGTCAGTATACAGATTAATGAGATGATGAAAAGGATACTTACCAAAAAGGAAGATGTAGCTAAAGTGACGGGTGCTATAATGTAAGATATGCATCAGGAGAGATTGTAGATCAAAGATATCAAAAACTCACTGATGAGCCTGACAAGTGAAAGGTGAACAATTGGCACACCTGAAATATGAGAGGAAGTCTGCAGCAGTGTGTGGTGCACCAGAAATGAGCCAAGTGCGAAGGCAAAGCACGCCCAAGAGGGTCTTCAACCCCACTGGCGCAGCAAAGTATGAGCGACCGGGGTGACCCTCCAGACGCGAAGTCTAGGAGTGGGAGATCAGTGACACAAAGTCAACTGATCAAATGAGTGAATGGCACGAAGCCAATTCAAAACACCAGGAACCATGGTTGTTGGATCAATCGCGATGATGAACTTGATGGGCTTGACGTGTGGATGTTGTGGTCTGAGGGCAAAGAAGGAACTTGGAACTGGGGAAGGAGAATGCAGAGAAGGAAATGAGACAATTGAGTAACAAGGTGGGAACTTCCCAATTGAGTCGAAAAGTCGAAGTTTGCAGACGTTTGTAGACTTCTGGGAAAGTCCCACAATTCACAAGTTTCACTCTTTCATTGACATTGACAACACTCCGTCCTTTATACTGTCTTCACTGCCCCTCGATCCCGCCTTCCCCGCCCTTGATCCGATCATCCCACCTTCCCCACCCTCAATATGTCCAACAACGACGGTTCCTGGCACTATGAATTGGCTTTGTGCCGTTCACTCATTTGATCAGTTGACTTCGTGTCGCTGATCTCCCACTCCTAGACTTCGCGTCTGGAGGGTCGCCCCAGTCGCTCATACTTTGCTGCGCCAGTGGGGTTGAAGACCTTAAGGCTTGGAAGGTGAAGCAACAAGCTCATTACAAGGCCCACCCACACAGCCAGTGATAGGAACAGAAAGGTGGCGCCCATGATGATCAGTGAGAAATTTGGTATGTTCATTTAATTGCAGTGTATTTCTACTGTACTGACTATATGTTGTATAGCTGAGGCCGGCACCCGCTCAAATCCTCGAACAGTAGGTGGCTGACCATGTTGGACATCCTGTACGCCGAGAAGCTTTGCGTACATGATTGGCCCACCGGTGTTCCCCCGCCTGGCCCCGATTTTGATCTCAAGGCTCTATCTGCAAGTCAACTACGTGCGTTGGTTGCTCCATATCTCAGGATTCATCTCGGAGCCATGTACGAGGCCGAGTTAGGCCTTGACAACGACGACGATGACAGCAAGGCAGAGGCAGTGAAGGCGAAGAAGCGCAAAGGCAAGTCCAAGAAGTCAGGCGACAAGGGAAGGAAGAAGGGGCCGATTGCAAAGGAGCCAAGTGTAGTATTGCATATCAGCAGATGGCCTGAAAGTACATATTGGATACTGCAAATCATACACAAGCTGATATCACAACCACAGGTGATATTCTTGCTCTTGAGATGCAGGCCTCAAACGTGTGTCTCATCCCGCTCGTCATCGACACTGATGGCAGGGTCGTTCACACCCTCCAAGACTCGGAGAAGTTCATCAAGGACCTTCCACACTTCCACAAGACGACACTCCTAGACACCGCACCAACGAGGTAATCCAAAAACCCGCAATCTCTAATTCAGCAGCTTCGTGCTCAACTATGGAAGCTTTGCGCTCAACTATTGGAGCTTCGCGCTTCAACAATGCAGCTCCGAGCTCCAACCATGAAGCTTCATGCTCTCGTCAATATACTAACCAAGTTATCCATGAGGATCTCCTGGGAAGCCCCATGCTCACGTCGCCCTACTAACCGAGTCTTTGACGACCTCCTGCCTTCGTCACCGTCAACACCATCTTCGCAATTCTCATCTCCCCCTCCTATTTCATGCTCGTCAACTCCTGTGCCAACCTCAGATTACTCGCACATCCGGTCCCACTCTCGATACAAGCTGTCTCACAAAGGAGCACTGCGACATCAACATGCATATAACAATGTTATGCCAATGTACAATTCAGATATTCGAAAATGGACTCGGCTCCATTATGAATCTGCTCTGGAGACTGAACACTTGGAGTGTGAAACGGTAGAGGAGAGGCGCCGTGTCAGGGTGCATGACAAGTGTGTTGCTATACCCTGACTTCTACATATGTTTGCTAACTGTCATATTATTGTATCAGTTCCTGTATACATTCAGGGCAGGCCCAGTCGCAAATTGTCAGCACCTCCCGTTCTCATTTGCCATCACGTTCAAGGAAGATGAATATTACTAACTTTGCAGCCCTTGTTACTGTCCACTTCTGGCAACGTCTTCTGGTAATGTCTACACATTATGCTTATTCCTTTTGTATGTTTTTTCATATGTTTTTCTTATGCATTCTCATGTTTGTCTCATCACATATGCTTCGAGTTAGTTATGATACACGTAGGCCTCATCTTATGTTTGAAATGTGTATTTTAACAATTGATGTTGTGCGAGACCCAATAATTTTGATAAATGCTCAAAATTGCTCGGTCCTTGTGCAATCTTACCATTGTAGAGACTTGTGCGTCTCATGGCGTGATATGGCAGTTTCCACCAAGGAGTACATAGCACGAACTTGTAGCATCACTCCGTGCGCTACCTGCAGCTATCCCTATACGAGGCGCAGCTTTCCCGCGCAACGTGCACCATGCGCACACCATTCATGCGCTTCGCGATGAATATGCGCGCACGCTTTCCTGCGCTTGAGCGCCCTATAGCGCCAGCCATCCAGATGCATCCATCCACTGTCCTCCAAGTTCTCTAGTGCGTATATTTCTGTTTTTCTCACTTGTATATTGTTCCACTTTATTTTTATCATGGACCCTTACTTATATATATCTCTACATACCTACTCAGTAGCGCTTCGGCTCCGCATGACAGCGCTTAGGCGCCTATATAAGCGCCAGCAGTACATACTATTACTGTACTTACTTTCCAACTTACTTTTCCTACCTTTTACTTACCTTTTCACCCAACTTTACTTACATACTTAATACCTAGAAAGTCACAGTAGAAATCTATTCATTAGCACATCACATCTCACATCTCTTATCTTGCTTTATCTCATCACTTAAGCTTAGTCTCTCATTTCCGCATACACACGCGCACTTTCCCATGCTTCGCGCAATACGCGCGCGGGTTCCCGTGCCTTGCGCGCACCTGCGCTTTCTCACGCCTCGCTTCAGCACGTACCTCTAGATCTTCGCTGCACTCGCTTCCCCTTTAGGGTCAAACACACTTGTCTCCTCAAGTAACGCAGACTAGGCAACACACGACCTTACAACTATTTACAGATACAGTCAGGAGCATCATTTGTTCCTCTCAGTATTGTGTTTTCTACACCATGATCCAAATCTAGCTTTGTTTGCTTACCAACTTATGCTTTAGACTTTGATATCAACTTCAAGAATACATCCCATTTCGCTACCTTCAACAATTATCTTACATATGTGGTTTGTACAATGTTATTGTGAATTTACGTTTGACATCTTTAGCTGCAGGGAACGCAGAAGCCTGAAGAGAAATCAGTCAGGAGTATGAATGTCATAACCAATTTCTCATTTGATGTTGATGGAGATGTCATAATGGTATGTCCCACCTTTACTCTTGCAATCTCACTTAATATTGCTACAGGAAATCCATCAGCCATATGACGAATTGGAGGCGCATATGGATGTTGATGCAGACTTTGTCGCAGTGAGCACATCTTACTATATTCCAGTTCGTTTGATTGACGAATATTTTAATTCTTAGCATGAAAGCATGGATATTGCGCAGGCAGCTGGCAAATTGGAGTGGTGTATGGATGTTGATGCAGACATTGTCGTGGTGAGCACGTCTTACTATATTCTACTTCATTTGATTGATGAATATCTTAATTCTTAGCATGAAAGCATGGTTATTTCGCAGGTGGCTGATGAATTGGAGTGGTATATGGATGTTGATGCAGACATTGTCATGGTGAGCACGTCATACTATACTTCACTTCCATTGATTGACCAATATTTTAATTTTTAGCACGACAACATGGTCATTGCGTAGGTGGCAGATCTATATACTTCTCCTCACGTCTAAGCGGATATCACACAGCCCACTCTTGTAATGGCCCAGTAAGCTTCTGCTATGGAAATTTCACCCCTCCCCCCCTATCACTATATCTTTGATATCAATATTTCATCGAGTCATGCTAATTCACACTTGTATACACCATATTCTACCCCATACCATTGAGATTGTGTTATGACAATGTCACTGTAATTACATGCTGAATCAGACAAGTTCTCCACAATTCCACCATGCAATACACTTAAAATCATGCTGCATATAACATCCTGCCTTGTACTCCAATCAGCACACCACAGAAGTTGGCAGTGACACATATGTCATCATGAGTCACCTCGTAGATCTACCTAAGGACAAGGGTGACAATAATTAATTACAAAGATATCCCATCCCCTGTGTTCCTTCCTGTAATTGATTGTGGGCCTATCTCATCCCTCATGGTCCTTCCCATAATTGATTATGGGTCTTTCCCATCCACCGTGGTCATTCCCTGGATTGTGGGGATGTCCCATCCCTCAGACCAGGTGGCTTAATGGTGGATATCTGAATAGTGCAATCCACGAGTGATGACTCTGTAGGCATAGGCGAGTAGCTGAGACTAGCATTGGTGGATCAATATCTGAATAGTGCGATCCCCAAGTGATGACTCTGTAGGTGTAGGCGATTTTATAGACATATTGGTGTGAGGTAGATGTGTGATCATTTTCAGAGGGGAGAGATCCCGGGCTGAGGGGGGGGGGGCATGAATAAATTATCATTTTTAGAAGGGAGAGATCCTGGGCTGAGGGGGGGGGCAGTGAATGAATGATCATTTTGTGTTTTCTAATCCTATTTCATAGACATATCTAATAGTAATTACAGTCATTATGTGACCCATTAGCTTGCACATTAGGTGCCAAGAATGCGCCCAAAATTTTCATTTTTGGCGCAGAAAATTGGGTGGTATTTTGATTGTTGGACCATCCCCAACATATTTTATTTTGGACCCTATGCACTTGGGGAAAGACCAACAAACATCGGCCAGACCATCTAAAAAGCACCCCTTAGGTGAAAACCCTTATAGGTATAATATAACCTAAGAGGTACTTGAAATGGGGTGACCAAAGTGCAAAAGTAGTATGAGCGAGAGGATTGAACATCAAACATGAACAGGTAAGGTACTACTACTATGGCTGAGCTTTTAGCACATACAAGCCACCAAAGTCAGTGACTCAGTCCATTCAGTTGCGCAAAATAACTCTTACTGGTACACTCCCATCATTTTCATCAAATTTCATGCAATGAATGACTTTCATTTACCCTGGACTCTTCAAGGTCATTCCCAACCAATCAACTGTGTGTTGTTGTCAGACAACGGAAAATTGGTGGCAAGTGGAGGTAACATGGATTTTGATGCTTAGTGCATTTTGGCGCTGATATTTTATGTTTGCATCTCATCATATTCAGCTGATGATGGTCTGGTACTTGTCTGATTGTTAAAAAATGGGGACTTGTTACAGAACATTAGTTCTAAACAAGGACCTGTCTCGGTTCTACAGTGGTTCTGCAACAACCAGGATTTAGACTCACAATGTATCATTTCTAGGGGGGCAGATGTACTATTCAATTATAGAAAAGACCACATGACAGAGTTTGTGAAAGGTGTTGAATATCTTGCTGGAACTGAAACATTTCCCCTGCAAGGATGTCTTTTGCTTAACCAGCCAGTATACAGTGTGTGAATCTGTGATAAAAAGATCTCATTTTGGATGATAATTCTATGACAGTTGCTGTCGCAGCTGGGAGCAGAGTGACTATGCTATGCCTTGTCATAGATTGTAGAGGTAAGCATTGGCTCATTTGTGGCATTATAGGTAACCTCATCAGATTTAGTATTGTACAGTCCCATGTGAACACATTCTCACTGAACCCCCATTGACACACCCTCTGAAGCAAGCCCTTGTATGCAGGGTTCATTTCCATGACAGTGGTCACTCAGTAATGGTGGTATTCTTGGACTCTAAAGAAATGTATGCATACTCTTTGCCACATCTTTGACTATTATCAGCATGTCATGGAGCATATCACCATGGAAGGAGCAGTGGCAGGATAAACTCACAATGAGAATGTTAGTGATTTGAGTTTGTACTATTATTCTGGGTGCATAGCCAGCTGACTGGATCTACAGCAGGAACACAGCTTGGTCTTTGGAAACCAGGCTGCTTTTTGTTTGGAACCTCATTGACAGCATAGATGTATACCACTTGGCTGACCACCCGGTCTTTGTTCAACAGTTTTCTATCAAGATTCAGAGGAATAACATCAAGCAGGTTGAATTTGTATGCCATGGAAAATATGCCCTGTGTGGCAGTATACTGGTGAGGTGCATATTTAGGATGTCCAGAAGGGTGTCCAAGTTACTTTGTTGCATCATGCGGATGGTAAGTTCACTTGATACTCATTAGTGTTGCCTCAGTTGAGTCGTTTGAACAGAATCAGTGTGCATTCAGACAGTCAGTTTGTCATTGTTACATCTCCACTGCTGCTGCTTATTTGCTCTCCTAGGTACATGTTTTTCATTGGCTGTGTTCGCTGGCATCTGCGGTACCTTGTTTCACTTAATCAAGTATTATGAAGCACATGTTTAGCTTTTTAGAGTACAAACATCTTATGTATAACTAGATGCATTTCAAGAACTAAATAATCCCTACAAATCTGTAGGATACAATCCATACTGAGAGGTCAAAGAAGGTCCATGTTCTTAGGAAATATCCCACTCCAAACATCACTGTCGGCCAGATAGGTAGGTCACTGTAATATGTGATGTAGAAAGGTTGAAAGGTTGAAACTTGACAAAGGGCATCGAGATTGGCCAAGTTAGAGGTTGGATCGACCAACATGGCTAGACTCTGCTAGTTTCCAATTGGATGAATTCCCATGACTCAGTATAGTGTGTGATGAGGTATCAGGTAATTGACAAAGGGATCATTGACCCGGAAATGCGAACAAAACTTGGGCTAGTAGAAATCCCCATTCATCAACCCTAAGCCTTGTGTCTGTCACAGAGATTCTGATAAAGGCTGATAAGGTCAATGTGTGAAGGTGAGATGTTGAATGATAAGACACCAGGGGAAAGAAAGTGCAAAGTGAGAATTGTCTGGGAAAAGTTATCAAGATGAAGTGCATCAAATGATAATTGAACTTACCTCGCAATCTCAGCAACACATTGAATGACACCATGATGGTCACACCTAGTTTGATATATATGCTCAGGCTATCCACCAACTTGCTGATTCCCAGTTGGAATTATGCATACAAGCAGCCTTCCCAATGAAATATCCTCTAAGATGTGTAAAGTAAGGTAAACAATCATGCTGATTCTCGATCACACTTGATTTCGCATCAAAATGAATAATTAGCACATTTTTATAAAGGAAACAAAGCCACACATACAACTTCTGGATAGGTACATATAGCACTAGTAGTCCTAGGCCAGGATTCAGAATCTCCACATGTACTATTCTCGCTACTTCCCTCCTTTAACAAACTGCCATGTTTTCAGACATGAGCGTACACCCAATCCTCCTGTTGATCATGCACATATAACAAACCACAACATATTCTAGCCTGATTTGGACAAGCATGTTGTTCAGAATCTGGCACTCACAAAAACTCCGAATGCAGATGACCCAGATGACCCTGATACCAATATGAGTAGGTGGTATGAATGCTTTTGAGGCATTCTGAATATGACCTATAATTTAAGCTCATAGTAATACTACTTTGAAGCATCCCAAGTTCACAGTCATCTATCCTTCAAATCCTAGACAAACATCTTTTCCCACTAGTGAGTTGACTGCAGTGCTTACTAAGTAAAGGGTGAAATGTGATAAATTCCCTTGCCAGCTAGGCAAGCGGTCAGTGGTATCACTTCTGATCTGTCAGCTAATACCCTGTCCCAAGGTACTACTTTGGTAGTGAGAGTCAGATTTCAGGCGAACTAATCATTCTCAAGGTCTTTCTGTTATTGTATGTCCACACAGAACATTGTCCAAGCCCGGTGATGGAGGATATTGTTTAAAGGAAGCACATAATGCTAGCTATAGACAGTTTCAGGTAAGATTCCAGATGTAAAAGGGACTCATTCCTCATCCTTCATTCAGTCTCTGTCACTAGAAAGTCTCGCATGAATTATGTCTGAAGTACTTCAATGTGAAGGTTGCATACCATGAATAGGCTCCCGATACAATCATGCAGTACTATCTTGCAGTATGTGATCTGTAACAAGTCTGAAATGAATCTAATGGTTGTAATGTATTAAGGCTTGAGAAAGGTACCCTGAGCTTGACTGATATGCTTTGTACTGGCCAGCTGAAGATTTTGCCTGCATATACCTCAAGAATTCATCTGCTCAGGCTTGAAGGAAGGAGTGAGTTAGGGTAAATAATAGTGCCCATTGAGATCATAGTTGGGCAAAAGGTGCAATGGATGTCATTGAAAAGTCTCCTGCAGAATTACATTAGTGTAGGGTCATGATACTGTCTTTGGGAAGTCATGCGTCTCTGATTGCGATATGTTTGCAATAAATGGATAGATAGTATAATGGTGATCAAACAAAAGCTAGTATTGGTATTTTTTGGTGATATTCCAATATTCCAAAAAATATCAATACAAGCATGTTTATGTTCAACTGTGGATAACGATGTTGAGCCCAAATGAAATGGCTATCATCATCATCATCATCATCATCATCATTGCCAAAATTCCTGAACTTCCAACGTACCTTCATCCTTGCTACTTCCTGGGTGATATTGAGCATGACGAGGCCCTCAAGGATGAGATGGTGATAAGCTGTCCATACACATATTTAATTTTCTCAGCTACTGGGTTGCTGGAACACATACCTGACAATAGATGAGAAAGGAACAATGGACAAGCTTAACGCACTTGAAAACACAGGTAATATGAGGTTCATTCCTGCCTTGATTCTGGTGGATCTCAGATCTGACATAGTCCTGACAATCATGTAAAATAGTACAGTTATGGGTGTTGAGATCTGTGGTTCCTTTGTTGCAGCCTGTTTCATTCATCAGTAATTGGCTGAAATGTTCAAAGTCAATGCACTGCAGGCATTTTCCCATGTTCCTCCACCAAACATTCAAAAAACATTGATTGAGAAGATAGAAATTTCCCCTCATTTTTCTTGTCAAAATATTGAAAAAAAGTAATTCATGTTTCAATGATGCTCTGTGTGTGGGACATGATGCAGAAATTGGTCATGTTTCCTCAAGAATAATGCTGTATTTTCCATCCATTGTCCTTGAAATAATAGCTTAAAATAATGTTAATTTTCTTCCCTGTATTTTTCAAATATACACAGAACATTTGAAAAATATAGTATATTATATTTGAAGAACATAAAGAAGAAAGTTAACATTATTTGAAGCTGTTATTTCAAAGACAATAGATGGAAAATACAGTATTATCCTTGAAGGAACATGACTAATTTTTGCATCATGTCCTACACACAGAACATCATTGAAACATGAATTACTTTTTTTAAATGTTTTGACAGGAAAAATGAGGGGAAATTTCTATCTTCTCAATCAATGGTTTTGAATGTTTGGTGGTATGTCAAATCATTAGCCAGAGCCCTCTTTATCAATTATAATAATTGGTCTGCAAAATCAATTCTTAGTGTATCCCAGTCAGTGGAAGCTGTCTTCAATCACCCTTTCATTGTCAATGGGTGACTTTTGTGTAAGAATTAACAGAAACAAGTACTGATCTGTAAATGTTTGACAGCTTGGCCTCGGCCATTTTGGCAGAGAAAATCTGTAAACCACTTCCTTGGAACCTCGTTGACAGCACAGATGTGATATTAGTGAGGTGTTGGTTGCATGCGGATGGTAAGTCTTCACTCAAGAATTATCACCCAGTGTGCATTCAGACATCCATGCTTTGTTGTCATTAACAGCTTTGCTTCAACATTCAGCGTCAAAATGTGTTGATTTAACCACCTTGATTCAATTTGTCTCACAGCAACACTACAACATGTGTTTCTCCTCATGTTTTTGACTCAATGCAGTAATGCCTGCATCTTCGTTACTCTTTCATTGACAATCATTCAGTTCCTTTGTCACTGTATTGCGTCATGATAATAGTACACTGTCCTTTTTGGAGTGAAGATTGTTTTGAGAAAGTCACAATCAATTGATTTCCACTTAAATAGCACGTGAATATAGCAAGGTGAATTGTGGCCTGTCTGTCAATTCAATATTATACTGCACCATGCCCAAAGACAACCCAAACCACTGTATATGTACATGTCACACTTCTTATCGTAAAGAGTCAGTGGCCTGGGCCCATATGTCCAGGATTACCATATCACCCCTTCCTTCAACACATTGTCTTATCTGTTCAATGGTCAAGGCCTTGGAGTTGCGGGAATCTATTTCACCAATGAACTCTGCAACTCCATCCCCAACTGAGTCACAGCTATTTTTTTTTCCACCCTGTCAATTATATCCAGCTTTTCTAGCCTTTCTGACTTGCTGGCTGGCTCCTCTGACTCATCTAAACCATCTAACCATGTGCCTGAGGTATATCATGGTCTATTTTTGCTATTATATCTTTGTCTGAACGGCTTGCTTTTTCACAGATCTCTAGCAGTACCAAAACCAAGGCCAAACTCACTGAACTTCAAGCTGAGGCCATCACTCTGAGAGAAGCAATTGATGAATGCAACACTGTCATCCAGAAGGTAAGTACATACACATGACTGATGTTGTTCCTACACATCATCTGCACAGGTCACCAAGGCTTGCAATTCATACCTCCAATGCTCGATTTGCTACCTTCTGATGTCAAAATCTTATGCATCTGTTTTTTCCCATGTTTTTCCCTTACTTTTCTAATGAATTACCAGGCTTGCATGTGGTCATTCATACTGCTGTCCTTGCATTCATAAATGCTTCAGCAAAAGGCTGGAGCAACAAATGTGATTGTGCAATCTTCCTGAGCACCTTCAGCCTCCATTTGATAACTACAAACTGGAAAATCAGGGTGTGAGAATCTGACTAAGCCAAAGGGAGGTCCCAAAAAGCTCTGCTTCTCGGCTACAATTATGTCCCCTATAGCGTGAGAATCTATTAACGCCGTGTGAAGATATGGCTATTTTAATTAGGTGACTCATTGGGACACTTTTTTGAGTTTCTATTAAAATATGAAAATCAGATCATTTAGACATGACACCATTTACAAATATATATATAAATGGTCCCATATTGACAATATGGTCTCATTTTAATATCCTGTACATATATAAACCCTTCCAATAACATCATGTCCCTCATAATCAGCATGAAGTCTA